AAGAGGCGAGCGCGCACAAGAGATAGAGGGGGTGGAGAGAGAGAGAGGAAAGAGACTGGGTCAGCGAAACCGGCTTTGCATTCACACGCAGAAACAGAGAGTGTGTATATATGTCTGCTTTGAGGGTGCGGTGTACACACCTGATAAATGTGTCTCTAGGCTGATGGGTTCAGCTCGAGGGATCCTCTGTTCCGAAGCAGTATCCTAGAATCGAATAGAAACGGTCCGGGTCAATACGCGCTGTTCAGATTTGAGCTTGGGAACGAGGGTGGGGGGCGGGTGGAGTGGAGAGGAGCAGAGCGAGGTGGGATTGGTTGTAAAGTAGTCAAGAAGAGGGGGAAGGCTCGTCTGGGCTCACTCTTGATTTTTCGATAAAATTTTTCTGATCTTGATTTTGAAGTGCGGTAGGTGGAAACTAAATAATGGTGTCTTGACCCCCTCAGATCCACAGAACCAAATGCTTGTAAAAGTATCAAATCAATCAATGGCCCATGGGCCGGGTCCCCTAAATACCTTTTAGCCCACTCACCAGTGAGTTCCACTGATCCGAAGTCTACGCGACACAATCTCGGTTTCGCAGAATTTGGGTTTTCCCCACAAGATCCGCCCAAATGCGTCACAGTCGAGTGTCTTTTACTTTTTTTTTCCTTCAGTAGTGTGCCCGATACGGTGTGACCTCCTCCCTCGCTTATCGCAGATGGCGGACACTCTTCGTCGTGGGCGGTAGCAGCAGGCAGACAATTAGCAAGCTCTCTTCGTCGTCGTCGCTGTCGTCGTCGTCAACGGGGGCCAAGGAAGGAGATGAGGAGGCGGAGTGCAAGAAGTGGCCTTCTTTCTTATTTGATTTCTGCTCCAACGGTCAGTGTGCCACCCAACACTCCTCCTCAACAAACCCGCGCCCGTGTTGTACATGATCCGAGCTATCTTCCAACAATGTTCTCCTGCCTGGATTCTACCACTCACTCGCCAGTCAAATGCTCGCCCAATTTGGAGTTCCGCTACGTTTGACTCGCCCACGACGTCATTTTTCGCTCTCGGCAACCCTCGTCCCGTCATTCAACCCGGTGGCATCCAATCCTCGCTCCTCCTTCATTTGCACTCGCACTCAACTTACACCTATATACTCTTATTTTTCCTAGACATTTATGGTGATAGCCAGTTTGCTGACAAATCACACGTGAATTCACTTTTCTCTCAAATCGGGAAAAACACCTCCAACGAGGATGGCTCACGGCTATCCCCCTATTCTAAATGAAAAAAACGTCTAAATACAAACGGTTAAAGAACAGCAGAGAGTGACAGGCAAAGTTCGGGTTATATCGTGTATAGGGTATCTGCGATCCGACCAATCATTGAATTCCAGTCAGAATTCATGTTGGCCCAAACGACAAAACAAAAAACAGCCACAGAAAGATAGCGGGACGATAAATGTGCTGATAGTGGGTCGATAACGCCGGAGTACCGTCATGGATCTGGAATATCAACCGGTGCCTTCTAATAGAAAATTAAAAAAGACCAGGGCGACAGAGGGCTTCCAACATGGGGGAACAGGAAGAGCCAGTGAGAGACGACACGACAATTGAGGGTTGCAAACAACAGAGATCGAGCGATCCGATAAGCAAA